AGCTCTTTACATAATTCTGTTGTCCAGGAGAATACAAAACCACAGTGTTCACCTTGAGTCTGTCAATCTTTTTATATCATTACCTTAACTACTCTTCCTGAGAATGTGGACTCTAACAGTGTTCCTTAAAATGAACAGGCTAAATGTCAGGCTATTGACATCGATGTCTAAGGTAGGGACGCCCAGGCACTCACCTATGCCAATGAACATTCCCACAGACATTTCCCTGACCAGAGCCTATGCTGTGACTGCACTGGCCCTTGGGGTACTTATGTGATTGCAAGGCACACCTCCACAACACCTATCAGAGAACTCTAAAAAAACAAGGTTTATTACTTATAGTCTCTGCAAGGAATAGGCAGAAAGGTCTGGAGGGACCGTACAGAAATTCAGAAGGAGAGAGAGAAAGGCCACAATGGCAGGCCCTGCCTTTATTGGGGTCTCTGGTCAGAGTGTCTACGGGTTCGCAGGATCCCTCTTTGTTGACAAATTTAAAACAGAAATTCTGGCACAGAAAGGGAAAATCAGGGTCACTCATGTGTCAGTATGTAGGTTACCCACGGCTTTCTGAAGAGGTGCTTCAGGCTGGGTGTGTTCTGAGTAGTTCTCTGGTGAGTAGAAGCATTCACCTAGGTGTCTAGAATGCCACCATCACTGCTTGTTCATAAAGTCATTGGAAATAAACCAGAATAACAGAATGATCATGACTGCGCTCCTCAATTGTCAGATCATGTGCCACAAATAAAAAGCAGCATTTTCTGGGGCCACTGGGTGGCTCAGTTGGTTAAGCACCCGACACTTGGTTTCAGCTCAGGTCATGATCTCACAGTTGATGAGATCGAGCCCCGCATTGGGCTCCGCTGCTGACAGCATGGAGCTTGCTTGGGATTCTCTTTCCCTCTCTCTCTGTGACTCCATCACTCTCCCCCACTCTCCATCTCTCAAAATACATAAATAAACTTAAAAAAAGCATCACATCTTCTAATTGCCTCAGGTCTGTTCGCTTGGGTTAATGTGTCAATCAGCTACTGCTGTATAACAGGCGGTCCTTGTCAAATGAGATATCATTATACCTTTACAATCAAATGGAATCATATGCTGGGGAGCGTTTCTGATCTCTCCTGGGCTCCTCGTGGGTCTGGGGTCAAGTGCGAATCTCTACATTGTGTTTCTAAGGCTCATGTGTGGTATTGTGTTTGGCTGTAGTGCTCTTCTGTCTTCAGTCAATTTACGGGCTCTTGTTACTACATTTGTACATGGAGGTTAATCTTCTACTTACAGAAAAAATTTGTTTATTGTGGGAATTACTTAATGTAATTCCATAGTTCATAGACCCATATTAACACTTGGCTTTCTTCCTCATTAGAAGTACTATCTCCCACCCCTCTTAAGGGAGAATCAGCTACCTGGTCTCCAGATCCTACCCTTGGCTATGCACCATTAGAATTTTTCCCACTGAATTAAATCTTTGGAGTATAATTGTACACACTAACCTGCAGATGTAAAGTGTACACTTTGGTGAATTAAAGGAACTACACAAAAATGAAGAGTATTCAGTGCAAGTTTCTATTTGTGTATAAGTTAAGACTGTTACATAGGCTTTAACTGCTTTGTTAGGTAATTACTAAAAATTTAAGCATCCCGGGCATCATATTCCCTATTTTTGATGGTAATGTGGGATTCGAAACATACCTGCATATGCACATTGCTGGGAATGATAAAATATGTGGAACTTCTTTTTTGACCTCAAAGAAAACATTTTAGGGTAATGGTTGTGTCTTGGGTATGTGTGTGTTTCCATACATTTTTCTTGCAAATAAGTTCAGTCATTGCATATGCACACACAGATGTATTTATGATTTCATCTTTTATGTTGGAAGGAAACCTGAGAGAGAACTGGGGAAGATGGCACTGAAAAGAATCCACATGAAATGGTTGCATCAACATGAAATGAAAGGATGCAGAAATACAGACAAAGATTGAAATGACAAAGAATGACTTTAAGTTTGATCAGACTTCCTTCCTGTCTTACTGGCTCAAAGGCCTCATAGACCATACTCACATTTATGCCCTGAGGAATTAATTCACTCTACCAGCTAATGGGACAGAATATCTCCAACTCGATTTAATTTTTCCTTTCTACCCACTGTGTTTTTGATATCAATTACCCTTATCCAAGGGAAGCTGATGAGAGAATTGAGTCTTAAACTCAGTTCCTGCAAAGAATTTTATTTTATTTAAAAAAAAAATTTTTTTAACGTTTATTTTATTTTTGAGACAGAGAGAGACAGAGCATGAACGGGGGAGGGGCAGAGAGTGAGGGAGACACAGAATCGGAAACAGGCTCCAGGCTCCGAGCCATCAGCCCAGAGCCCGACGCGGGGCTCGAACTCACGGACCGCGAGATCGTGACCTGAGATGAAGTCGGACGCTTAACCGACTGCACCACCCAGGTGCCCCAAGAATTTTATTGACTATGTCCCTATGAGATTTCTACTGCTGCTGTAAACTATCCCCACACTAGCTGCTTAAAACAAATACATACACACTCTTACAGTTTTGGAGTCAGGGCTTGGAGGGAGTCTCATCGGGCTAAAAGCAAGATGCCTGCAGTGTTGAGATCCTTCTGGAGGCTCAGAGGAGAATCTATCGCAGTCTCCGTTGCTGGCCACCTCTTCCTCCACCTTCAGAGCCAGCAGGGTAGCATTTTCAAAGTCTCTGTGACACCAACTTTTTGTCTCCCTCTGCAACATTTGGAGGACCGTTATGGTTACCTTAGTCCCACCTGGACAATCACAGTTAACCTTTCTATCTTTTTGTCTTTTTAAAAAATCTATTTTCCCTCAAAAATTTTTTAACCAAAGTGTAATTAACATACAGTGTTTTATTAGTTTCAGTGGTACAATATAATGATTCAACCATTCTATACTTCTATATACTTCAACCATTCTATATTT